CCCCAAAACCCCAAAACCCCAAAACCCCAAAACCCCACAAACACAATAACAAACTGAAGTGGATATAAATAAAATGGGCTCTCTCTTCTTGTCTGCGCTAGGATGGCTAACTTTGGTAGGACTTCTTATAGTACCCCAGTGTCACAGTACAACAGTGGGTATAGCTAATGAGTAAGTGGCAATTTGAATAGCAGAGAAACTAAAGAATAGAAGTTTAGAAGGGCAGGTTGGGTATTATTGTGTGTTGTACTTAGGCATTTTTATATAGAATCTACCAAGATAATGCAGAAGTCATGAAGGAAAGCATTATTTCTACCTTAGATATCAAAGACAAGTAAGAGAGTTAGGGGATGATATTTGGAGTTATAATTTAAAATATAGGTTTGATTACGGAGAGATTGTAGAAAGCTCATCACTACATCCAGAAACAAGCACAAAAGAATCTATTAATGAAGAAGCTAACAGTGAATCAAGAGTAGAAGAAGATGAATCGTGGAGTAAGAAATATGTTTCTAAATGAAGGAATTATCCTTTTTCTAAGAGTTTTTACCATACTCGGAAGATAATTAAATTTTACCATCAATTATAGTTTACAGGCTAATTGGAGGATTTGGATACAGCTTTTCATTCATTTTCCTTTCTGAAATAGGAGACAAGACTTTCCTATTCGTTATAATCTATTCAACCAGAATGAATGCTCTAAAACTGTTTTTACTCGCGTCTCTTGTTCTATGTTCGATGCATGTTGTGGGAGTAGCTCTTGGAGGAACCATACAGCTTCTTTTTAGTACTTTTTGGATCAAAATGATCACAATAGCTGCCTTCTTTCTTTTTGGAGTGTTTCTACTTTACGATGCCTTTACTGAAGAAGAGGAAGAAGAAGATTATTATGTAAAAATTAAAGAAGTCGAAGAAGAAGCTCATATCAATGCAATTCATGACAGAGATCAGGAGTTCTTTGGAACAGAGGGTGAAGGGCATGACGAAAATGACTTAGAGAATCAAGATGCCCCAGAAGTAGAACCTCAAGGGTTCCTATCTAAATGAGGAGAGTTCTTTATTTCTAAAGATTCTTTGAAAGTAATTTTAACCCTTGTAGCATTTGAAATGGGAGACAGATCACAAATCTCTGCATTTGGTCTTGGAGCTCAATATAGCTTCATTGTAGTGTCCATCGCTGGAGCTATAGGCCATATGCTTGCTGTAGTGCTTGCAATTCTTTTTGGAAAAGCAGTAGCTAAATATACAACTGAGAAGTGCATGAACATCATTGGAGGAATCCTTTTCTTGATTTTCAGTGCATATACTGCTGTCGAATATTTTTATCTTATGGCTTAATTATCTGGAAGTGTTTACAATAATTCTTTTGTCGACTATTCAGAATATTAGTAAGGGGTTTTGGGGTTTTGGGGTTTTGGGGTTTTGGGGTTTTGGGG